AGAAGCGCAGGATGTACTCACGAAGAGTTTCCCCAGACTTCTATCGGTAGTTTTTGAGATCCCATGGCTTCCTAGGACGCATGTTGGTGCCCTATAAGTTTCCCATGAAAATCTCCTTTAGGTCCACCTAACTTTGAATCCGGTTGGGTGGAAGGTGCTCCAACCATGTTCGCGCCGAATCGGCCAGGAACAATGGTAGGTTGTGGATAATGAAACTGTGACTATCCGCTCCACCGGCTTGGCAAGCAAACCGTTAATCCTCAAGCCACAGTCTCGGGGTTTGTTTCCCCAAAGTATTTTGGGATGTTGGTCGGCGGTCGGTACCGCGGTGGGAAGGCGACATTGAGGATGTGTTGGCCGAAGGCCTAAGGTCCCAGCAGGTCATGGTCGGCGTCCTCTCTCTCGTCGCTTCATCCATGCCTATGGGCATCGAGGGTGTTACGTGCATCATGGTGGAGGCCGAGACGCTCATGCACTAGGGCCGCGGCGCGCCCCCTGCCGCCGCGAGGTGCCTAGTGGACAAACACGTCCCTGACATGTCATCCTAAGGGCACGCGCTGACTGGCATCGAGACAACGAGCTCTCCACCTGCTACACCACTGCGCGCTCGAGCAACATGCGGATCTTGCGATGGGCCCGACAATCCTCGGGTGTCATGGGCTCCGGGAGCCCTCGAAGCAAGGCCGTCGTGGCAGCGATGTTCTGGCTTGTCTAGGTGAAGAGTGGGAGGGCTCCATCTTCTTCGATGATCCTCTAGTTCAAGTCATGGGCCATAGCACGCGCATGCCCACCGTCTCCACGGCGCTCGATCTGTCGCTCGAAATCTACGTGCTCCTGCTCGAGTTGGAGTCATGCATCCTAGAGCTCCTAGTGCCACGCCCTTAGATGTTCCACCCGCATGCGAGGAAGGGTCCTTGCATCTTCCTCGACCTCGTCGTCGAGGTCGTTTGGTGGGGTAGCCCCTCCCTCGTCGATGCTATCGACGCGTCCCTCGGGGGTACCTGCCATAAAACATTCTCGCGAGGGGTGATGGCTCCCCCTGCTGGGGTCAGAGTCGAAGAGACTCTGAATCTCCCGTGAGAAGGTCATGGAAAGATTTTGTGACATATTCGGTCATCCCCATGAACTCGTTGTTCATAGGGGATAGGTGCATGCGCTGCGCCACGAGGTGGCCAGCGGTCCCCGTAGCATTACATAGACTGAACGGGAATGTTATCGGGTGCGGCCCGGGTGAGGTGTTCTAGGGATAGCTGTTCCCCTCCAGCGAGTTGCATCATGGCGTTGGCGAAGGAGAAAGTAAGGCAGTGCAGCTCCTCTCAGGACAGTCAGGGTCCTAGGAAGGCATCGAGTTGGCGCTCCAACCTCCCATAGTCGAAGCCGAGGAGCTGGTCGCTCCCGGGGACACGGGCCTCCGGCGCGCATAGCTGCAGCTCAAGCGCCTCGACAATCGCGTCGAGGCCAGCAGAGTGGAGAGGCTGGACAGTGGCGGGAGTCTGCGCCAACTCTCCCTCCATCGTGACAATGAAGTCTAGGCTCCTGAAGCGCACATGAGCGCCCGGTACCCAACTAACGCCGTGACTAGCCATCCAAGGCTTGATGTGGACGTCAAGACGCGCAAAACCCCCCTACCTGGCACGCCAACTGTCGGTGTTTCCGATCACCAGCTAGTAAATTTCTAGTTTGCGTGTCTGTCCGGATAGTGTGCTTGGAGGACACAATGATTATACTCGTTCGGGCAGAACGTCCCTACGTTCAATCTGCTGCTGCTCGTATTACCGACACTGTCTGTAGTAGGGGTTACAGATGGGCAAGAGAGGGAGCGAATCTCAGGTCTCTGGTGGAAGGATTGAAAAGTGCTGAGAGCTTGTTCAGCTGCTCAGCCGTGTGCTCGTGCCTATCTCCCTCGTGTTTGTGTTGCGTTGTGTTCCCCCTTTTATAGAAGAAGGGAAGATGCAGGTTACATCAGAAAAAGAGAAGAGAGAGAAAGAGAAAGAGGGAGAAAATCGAGGAGAAGAAGCCCTCTAGGCCCGCCGCGTCCTTCTTCTCCTTCATGCGGGTTCCGCCGACGCTGTAGATGGTGACGGGGATGGCTCCACGTCGGGCTCCTGTTCACTACTGGTGCTATGCCTCGACATCATCAGCTGGTCGTAGCGTTCCATCCTGTCCCGACGGACGGCGTAGTGAACCGACGTGCTTTGTCGGTGCCGTCTGACGGGATTTGGCAAAGACAGCACCACGCACCTTTTGTCACTATTGGCGTCTGAACCTAGGCGTGGCTGTCGTCATGGCCAGGTCACGTCATGGCGTGCCTGTGCCCCTTCTGGTGTCAGAGGCTTGACCCAGGGCCACACGCTTAGACCCGTAGTGGTTGGGGTGGTACGGACCCCGCCAGGCGAGGCAGAGCCCGCGCCCGAGGGGTCGAGCGAGACGGAGCCCGTGCCCTCAGGGTCGGGCAAGATGGCTCCCGTACCCTCGAGGTTGGGCGACATGGGGCCCATGCCCAAGGGGTCTGGCGAGGCGAAAACCGTCCCTTCGGGGTCGGTCGAGACTGAAATACGTCCTTAATTATCTAGGCGAGTTGTCGTCCGCGGTCCTTAGATCCTTTTTTCGGGTATCCGAATATTGATACCCGACATATCATATCTGATATTCATCTAGAAAAAACGATTTATAATACAAAAGATAGACTACTTGACACAAAGGGAAAATGAATCAAAGGTACTAGGACCTTTTTCTTTGTTTCTTTTGCCTTGAACGCTTGTTAGACCAATGTTGCTAGAACCATAGGTCGTAGAAGGCTCCAAGGCATGCTAACCAGCGAGGCAGCAACCTTTTAGACCAAAGGCATTCGCCTGGCTTTATTAGAAAGTGTATTGAACACCATATTACCAGTTTATATTGCAAGAACATAAAAGGAGAGAAACTTAACAAAAGCTCGACTTTCTCTCAACCTGAACTCGACTGACCAACTATGCGCGAACGATGTCTACAGAGAACCCCTCCTACCAGAACGCTAGCCACGTGGATTCCACCACTCCAAAAAATACTACAAAAGACGAATAAAAGGGGGCTGATCTAGCGAGCATTGGACGTCAACTGGTTGATCATTTCTTCCGCTATTGGTTCCAGCTTCGTCTTCATCAGGGGGCGCCACGATTTGATCAGCATCAAGGTCTTGAAAATGATCACTTTAGGGGAAGTGAGATCCTTGTTGATCGCCATGTCATTCCTAGTCTTCCAGATTGTCCATAACGCGCCTGCACAAATAAAGAGTGTTACCTTGCGTTTGGCGCCTCGACAGTCATCAACAAACTCTAATAGAAAATCAGCCCAACTAATTGGTGAATTCTGCCATCCCAATAAGACCCCAAGGAAGGTCCAAAGGAATGCAGCAATTGGCGAGGCAGCAACCTATCTATCTGACTACAGTGGCATCAGCTTGGCTTGCCACAAGAGATGTGGGCAGACGGGCACGGCCAACAAACAATCGTTTGGACCCACACAGAAGTATGTGAGCGCATCATGCAACTGTGTCCACCATTATGAAAGGCAAATAAAAGTAGATAGCTGCTTGCAACCATCCAAACAACAACCCAAATTAGAGACTGATTGCTTCTATTTCTGTCAGGTGCTACAATGTTGTTGTGACCCTTAGATTCTATCCCCAAGTGAGAGCATGTCCGAACAGCTCTAGGCAAAGTTAGCAAAGGGTTGCTATCCTAGGGTGTCTACGATATTGTTAGTGATCCATTGAGCACTTAGGACATCTTCAAGTAATGACATTTCGGTTCCTCTTAATAGTATCGCATCCTATACTCAAGTGAAGTTCAAATAAAATTAAAATAAGTGTGAATTTCTTCCAATCAAAAGCGAGATGTTGTAGCTTTCTTTGAAGTAGAAATTGAGGGTCCATGTTTCCATTTGCACTTTTGACACTGGTGTATAGCTGAGATTCTCATGAAAGATCGTTAGCTCTTTATATGCGTCATCTATTCAAAAAACTATGGTGGCTGGCTGTTGAATGGTTGGTGAAATGTGATTTCTCATTTATGTTATTTTTAGTGTATTATGCAGTATGCATATATGAGTATATAACAATTGTTAATATGTATTATACAACTATCTGCTTACTGGTGGTGACATAGTGCGCTTGCTGTTGCAGACACGGGTGACCCGTTGCGTACCCATGACCTGAGTGGGCATGGATTTAAGCATAAAATTAAACTCGTGATAAATCATGGATTTTTTAACGGGCACATTTTATGTTCATGGTATAGGTTTGAGCTCGCAAAACCCAACGGTTTTATGTCCGTTGCCATCTTCAGGTGGATCAGAGCTAAATTGGCAAGGCTCGTCCTTTAATGGATAGGCAAGATGTCTCGTCGCTGAGAAAACTTTTTCTTGTTTCGAGTCCAACCTAAAACATTAATTTTATTTATTTTATATTAAAAGCTCGCCTAGGCCCGAGCCAAGGCATGAAACCCGAATCTGCCCTCTAGGTAGGCCTAGACTTAAATTTTAGACCCGAAACTAGTCTGACTTTTGTAGACGGACTTATCCCTCCGTAAAAAAAAACATTATGGGACGTGTGCTTATAGAAAATATTAGCCTAGAGCCTCAGCCCCGGTCGCTCTAGCGACCCCAAATCTCAAATCACCCGGAGGGAACTAGCTCGCGAAGGCAAGTACGCTTTAGATCCCTCATTGCTTCTGGTTCCTAGGCCAGCGCGCCTCGATTTTCTTCTCCGTTTTGGTCTAATTCGTGAGGAATTTGGGTTTCCTCGGTGGTGCTTGGTTCCACTCCGCCTTGGAGTGGATTTCAGTGACTTTTTTGTTCAGATTGTTTCGCTCTTGCAGGCTGCGCGCCTCGATTTTCTTCTCCGTTTTGGTCTAATTCGTGAGGAATTTGGGTTTCCTCGGTGGTGCTTGGTTCCACTCCGCCTTGGAGTGGATTTCAGTGACTTTTTTGTTCAGATCGTTTCGCTCTTGCAGGCTGAGTTCATGGCTCGCGTCTACGTTGGGAACCTGGATCCGCGTGTCACAGCGCGGGAGATCGAGGACGAGTTCCGCACGTTTGGGGTTCTGAGGAGGTGAGATGCGGTGCCTTTGCTCGAAAGTGCTAAGCTTCGTTTTTTTTTTCTTTATTGATAGCGGAAGCGCTAAGGTAGTCTTTTTGCCGGTAGGATTTCCCCCGACTTGCCTCTATCCTACTGTTTATAGCATATACGACTTTACGCTGTTGCTTGCTAGTTCATATACATGCATGCTAAACAATTTATGTTTTGAGTATGATAGTTTCGTATTGAGCATAGTGCGTACCAATGGTAAAACAGCAATACAGAAGCCTGTGCTCCACTTAGTGGTCATGTGATATGATATGTATAGAAATCAATAAGTAAACTGTGGCGCAGTGACTCAATGCCGATGCATTTGTGTATGCTTTGTTTGTTTGTTGAGTAGATCAAGTTTTAGTAGAGTTGTGTCTGTTTCTTGACAATCTCAGAGTATTTTGGGTGATGCATATGCTGTTTGAGAAATAGAAGGGAAAGGCAGCAGTACTATGCTCACGTTAAATTACAAGTACCTGAGGCTTAGTTTGGTAGGGCTTGGCCTTCTGCATGATAAGTTGGCAAGTGCGGTTTCAACTTACCAGTACATATGGTGCCAATCTTATCTAGTTAGCCTCACTAATAGACAATCACATCTTGTTAGTAGTATCAAGCTCAAGACAACTAGGCGTCTAGCTTTAAAATTTCCACTTTATGTGTTGGCTGCTTCCTTAGTTTCTTGCAGACTAATTTGAGCTTCTTTGTTTTAAAGGCTTGTGAGTTGTTATTATCCTTTGTTTTTTTAGAAGAAAGGTAGGACCTCTTTCTAAAGATTAGAGGGTATCTTTCTGAACACTTGTGATTTAATCCAGACATCTAGTACACTTGCAGTTATGCAATTATTTTTATGCTTCATGTCGATGATGAATTGACGATACCACAGTAAAAATACTGGGTGAACATGATGACGAGTAAGAAACAACCAGTGAGATATGTAGAGTAGATTGAGTTGAAGTTACTATGATAGATGGAAAGATGGAATCATGCCAGTGATTCTGAAGTGCATCCAACATAACAATGCTACCTTCTGACCTGGAATTTTTATGTCTATGATCTATAAATAAAGGTTCTTGTCTGGTGATGTCAGAATTGACAAAATTAACTCGGAATCATATTTCCTCAATACTATGGATATCTTAAGACTGGATGAAATGCTTCAACCTTTTTCTTTAGTTGCAGCAACAACAACAACAACAACAACAAAGCCTTTAGGTCCCAAACAAGTTGGGGTAGGCTAGAGTTGAAACCCATCAGAAGCAATCAAGGTTCAGGCACGTGAATAGCTGTCTTCTAAGCACTCCTATCTAAGGCTAAGTCTTTGGGTATATTCCATCCTTTCAAGTCTCCTTTTATTGCCTCTACTTAAGTCAACTTCGGTCTTCCTCTTCTTCTCTTCACGTTACTATCCTGGCTTAGGATTCCACTACATGCCGGTGCCTCGGGGTCTCTGTTGCACATGTCCAAACCATCTCAACCGGTGTTGGACAAGCTTTTCTTCAATTGGCGCTACCCCTAATCTATCACGTATATCATCGTTCCGAACTCGATCCCTTCTTGTATGACCGCAAATCCAATGCAACATACGCATTTCGCGACACTTATTCATGTTGAACATGTCGTCTTTTCAGAGGCCAACATTACGCACCATACAACATAGCATGTGTCTAATCATTTGTCCTATAAAACTTGCCTTTTAGCTTCTATGGTACCCTTTTGTCACATAGGACACCAGACGCTTGCCGCCATTTCATCCACCCTGCTTTGATTCTATGGCTAACATCTTCATCAATATCCCCGTTCCTCTGTAGCATTGATTCTAAATATCGAAAGGTATCCTTCCTAGGCACTACTTGACCTTCCAAACTAACATTTTCCTCCTCCCGAGTAGTAGTGCCGAAGTCACATCTCATATACTCGCTTTTAGTTTCTTTGAGTCTAAAACCTTTGGACTTCAAAGTCTCCCGCCATAACTCCAGCTTCGATTCACTCTGTCCGACTTTCATCAACTAGCACTACATCGTCATGAAAAGCATACACCAAGGATGTCTCCTTGTATGTCCCTTGTGACCTCATCCATCACTAAAGCAAACAAATAAGGGCTCAAAGCTGACCCTTGATGTAGTCCTATCCTAATCGGGAAGTCATCCGTGTCTCCATCACTTGTTCGAACTCTAGTTACAACATTGTTGTACATGTCCTTAATGAGTCTGACGTACTTCGTTGGGACTTTATGTTTGTCCAAAGCCCACCACATAACATTCCTTGGTATTTTATCATAAGCCTTCTCCAAGTCAATAAAAACCATGTGTAAGTCCTTTTTCTTCTCCCTATACCGCTCCATAACTGTCTTATTAAGAAAATTGCTTCCATGGTTGACCTTCCGGGCATGAAACCAAATTGGTTCATAGAGACCCGCGTTATTGCTCTCAAGCGATGCTCGATAACTCTCTCTCATAGCTTCATAGTATGGCTCATCAACTTAATTCCCCGGTAATTAGTACAACTTTGAATATTCCCTTTATTCTTGTACATCGGTACCAATATACTTCTCCTCCACTCATCAGGCATCTTGTTCGATCGAAAAATATGGTTGAACAACTTGGTTAGCCATACTATAGCTATGTCCCCGAGGCATCTCCACACTTCGATTGGGATACCATCCGGTCCCATCGCCTTACCTCCTTTCATCCTTTTCAACGCCTCTCTGACCTCAGATTCTTGGATTCTTCGCACAAAGCGCCTATTGGTGTCATCAAAAGAGTCATCTAACTGAAAGGTTGTGTCCATATTCTCACCATTGAACAATTTGTCAAAATACTCTTGCACATGTTGTTTATGTCGTCTTCTTCCTTCAAGAGCCCTCTTTGATAACCCTTTCCCTGAATACCTCTGACGTCTCCATTCAGTTTCCACCACTTTGTTCTTTGAATCTTAGCTTGTTTATCCCTACGGGCACGCACCTGAAAACGAAAATCTGCCACCAAAAGCTTATGTTGAGAAACAACACACTCCCCTAGTATCACCTTGCAATCCAAGCATGCTCGTTTGTCCTTTCTTCTTGCGAGGACAAAGTCAATCTGCTCTGATGTTGTCCGCCATTGAAGGTCACTAGATGAGATTCTCTCTTTCTAAAGAAAGTGTTGGCTATCATCGAGGTCAAAAGCTACCAAGTCTAGAACTTCCTCCCCTCATGATTCCTACTACCATACCCAAAACCTCCATGAGCGCTTTCGGAACTGTGCTTGTAGTACCTACATGCCCATTAAGATCTCCTCCTATAAAAAGCTTCTCACTACTAGGTATAGCTCTAACTGAAGCCATCTAAGTCTTCCCAGAGCTGTCTCTTAGCACTCTCGTCCGAGGCCTACTTGGGGGCATACGCACTAATTACGTTCAAGACTATATCACCAACGACAAGCTTGACTAAGATAATCCTATCTCCTTGCCTTCTCACTCCCACCACACCATTCTTGAGGCTCTTATCAATCAAAACTCCTACTCCATTTCTATTCGCGACTGTCCCTGTGTACCAAAGCTTGAAACCTGTATTGTCCACCTCCTTCGCCTTCTGACCCTTCCATTTAGTCTCTTGAACGCATAATATATTCTTGAGGCTCTTATCAACTAATTCTCTTAACTTACCTGTAAGTGACCCTACATTCCAACTACCTAAACGGATCCTAGTTGGTTCGACTAGCTTTCTTACCCTTCGCACCCGTCGACTCAGATGCGAAGACCCTTGCTCATTTTTCACTACACCTGGGCGCCAATGTAGCGCGCCACTAAGGAAGCGACGACCCGATCCTTGCCCACTTGACACCATGCCTAGATCACGACACGGCGCGTCACGGGGGTGACGACCCGGCCCTTGCCCATTTAACACCATACCCGGGTTCCGATATGGCGCGTCGCTAAGAGGGTTACGTCCCAATGATTTTCTTTCGGGTTTCATCTCCATTAAAGTGGCTAAGTTTTTACATTGGTTCGCCATGACTAACACAACCCTCCTCCTTTACCAGGGCTTAGGACCTGCTATACTGGGACACCAAAGCGCCCCACCATAGGCGGAGTTAACCTTTTTCTTTAGTTGGTTGATGCCAATATATTTACTTCTGTTTGTAGTTGAATTTTGACAGGTTTAGCTGTTACCCTGTACAAAAGTGCCATCTTTTTTACTTTGGTTTCTGAAAAAGTATCCTAGCCATCCTTCTATGTAGGTTTGGTTGAATTTGTTTCTGCATTTGCATGCTGAGTTGTTGTTTATCTCCTGTTTGCTGTTGATTTAGATGACACTAAGTTAAACATGTTCATAATAAAATTGCGCTCAATACTGTATTAAAATGTTTTTTTCTGTACAATAGATTATTATAGTTTATATGCATTCACTTGGACTGATTTGTTCTTTCCATGCAGTGTATGGGTTGCTAGGAAACCACCAGGGTTTGCCTTCATTGACTTTGATGACCGCAGGGATGCACAAGATGCCATTCGTGAATTGGATGGTACTTAATAACTATGGATGCCTATTTATTACTTTGTAGTGTAGAGAGCTTGCCTTTTCCTGTAAGACTTTGTACAAGTAATTTATTCAATTTTCTGATAATAGGTTGTTCCTTTGTAAAGAATGTAGATGTGGCCCTATTAAATTACTATATGTAAAAAACTATCTTTTTTCTTTTTAGTTACTCACTTATTTGTAGATTTGAAAAGGCTTATAAACTTCAGATAATAATAGTATAAAAGCTTTTGATTCACAGCAATTATCACCCTGCAGAGGAAGTTGTGCCTCAAATGAAGTGGTAGCTTATGTGATGTTAAGATGTGAAAGATATTTGTGCTGCCTGATTTCTAAGTTCTAATTGTTGGTCACTTCCCAATAAGTTTGCTTGTCTAAACTTTATTATATCCATCAGCAAGTTTTGAGTTCTTTCTCTTACAGCTGGCAAGTAATAGCCATATAGTTTAGTATGCTTGAAGGTATCAAATCAAATGTCTCTGTGCTTTTATTGTGTTCTGTGAGTTGAGTTCATGAAATGGGGGAAAAGCTGTCTTTGGCAACTATGAAATGTTTGTGCCTGTAGTTGGATACATAGCAGTTGCACTTTTACCAGGAATAGAAATTAGTATCTATTATATCAACTGACTTATGAATACACTAAGTCATGTCTATAGTTATAGCAATGCTGGGATGCTGGATATCTTGGCCCTGCTGTACATTGTCAATGCATATGTATACTAATAAACAATATCTTACTGGCAATGGAGCAGGTACTCAAGTCCTTGTCCTGCAATTGCATACAACCGCAATACTTTAATGCAAGGCTTGCTTTGCAAGAAAGCCATTGAGTTTGTTTCAAACTACTAACATGCTCCAATCTTACATGATAATGAATCTTTCACCCTTTTTTTATTGTGCATTAGTAATTGAACAAAGTTTTGCAATTTAGCTATTGTGAATACATATAGTTCAGCAATCTGTGAATTTATGCTTATGGTTATCTTGTTGATTTGTGCTCGATAGGTAAGAATGGTTGGAGGGTTGAGCTGTCAACCAAAGCTGGTGGTGGCCGTGGCCGAGACCGTAACGGTTCTGATATGAAGTGCTATGAGTGTGGTGAATCTGGCCACTTTGCACGTGAATGTCGCTTACGGATTGGTTCGGGAGGCCTGGGTAGTGGAAGGCGTCGCAGCCGAAGTCCTAGATATCGCAGCCGTAGCCGAAGTCGCAGCCGCAGCCACAGCCCAAGATATGGAAGGAGCCCAAGCGGCAGAAGGTAATTTGCTAATGACACCAATCCACCACATGCATTCATCCAATAGTTTTAATTAAGGGTTGGGAAACACCACCTAGAAATCCTAAAACTTCTGAGAACGAAGCAAAATTTCGAAGATAACACATTCTTTATAACCACAAGGGAGTATCCAGTAATGGTCTCAAATGCACTATTTACAGATAATAATAACAAAGGTTTTCTGGACATCTCCAGCTTTGTGTTTGAGCCTAGTCATTGCCACATTTCCCCTTTTTTCAGTTTTGCTCTGTGATTAGAAGTAGCCCCTTTACACTGATATAAATACATGCAGCGAAAATTAAGATGGCATGTTGAAAAAAGAAGAATGATGACGAGAAGTCACACCTAGAGATGTTATTTGTAGTTAATATCTAGTACATGACTAGATGTGTTCCTGATTTGATGGATAGTATTTAATCAAACGTTCAACTATGCATTCTAACTTCTGAGTGTAGTTCTTTATGTTGCATTGGTACAATATGATCCAATGCATTCTTATCCCCCTCCCCTGTCCCACCTGTTATAGCTTTGTTGTCATTGTGAATCCAAACTTAATATTTGAGGGGAACATTTTGAGAGACTACATAAAATATTCATCGTCTTCTTGCCTCGCTAGCAGCCTTTTTCAATGGATTATTTTGTGTTAAACCTGAAAACAAATGTTGGGTTTTTCAGGAGCTACAGCCCACGAGATCGTTCTCCTAGGAGGCGAAGTTATAGCAGGTCGCCACCAGGATCTCGTGCACGGAGTCTCAGCAGGTCGCCGCCACTGCCGCCGCCGCCTCCTAGAAATAACAGCAGGTCACCACGGGGAGCTCGAGACATGAGCAGGTCGCCACCACCACCTCCTCCCAGAAATAACAGCAGGTCACCACCGGGAGCCCGAGACGTGAGCAGGTCGCCGCCACCACCTCCTGATGCCAGAAGAAGCTATAGCAGATCCCCAGGACAGCAGCCCCAGCGTGACGAGTCCCCATATGCCAATGACGCCTGAGATTCTTAGCTGCCCCAAGATGCTGGAAAATGTGAGGGGCCCCAGCATGTTTTGCCCAAGCGCATCGATACAACTGTAATTCTATAGGATCCAGTCTGAGATTTTGTTCCAGTGTTTTGGGTTTCCCTTGGACACTTGTGGAGGCAGGACCATCCTCTCTGCTGATACAATTGTGGAGGCAGGACCATAACGTTTCTGAGACTTTGGGCGCTTGTAGTTGTCAAGACAAGATCTGGTTCGTGTTAGACTTGTATTGCTAGGTTGTATTCGAATTTGGACAAAGTGTTTATCGTGCGCAACGCTGAGATACCACCCTAGCTTTTCATAGGATGTTCCTACTCGCTTTTGGTCGGTGTTTTCATTCAGGGGGTGTGACGTGATAGCAATATGAAGCAGCGAGAGGATGGTGGTTGCTGCTTGGGTTGCCGTTGGCGGTAGAGCATCACCTCCCCATTAAACTGTCGCCACTCCCATTATTTCATCCCTGATATATATAGGTAGTCACCAATGTTTCATCGTTCCAAACTCAGTGGGAGATGCAACTCCCCCAATATCATGCCCCGACATCAAAAGCCTTGTTTTTCTCTCTTGCCCTTGCTTGGGCATCTGCCTTGACACCATCTGCCGCATCTATCTGGCACTTCAAAAGGAGAGAAAAATTCCTATTTGACATTAGAAACATTTTTGCTTTTCTATTTGACACTTCCATTACTTTAGAGTGGTAACGCTGTTAATTCCAGTGGTAACAGAAGCAACAAAAACCGGGAAACATAACAGTTTTGAAAATAATAAAAAATGCTACTATATGAAAAAAACAAGGGCAAAACGGTCTTTTCGTTTGGGACTTAACACCGTCAAATAGATAGAAAAGAAAGGTGACAGATAGAAAATAATTTAAATTTGGATGCTAAATAGGAAAGATTTTAAACTTGGTTGTCAAATAGAAAAGCAAAAGTTTGTGTCAAATAAGAAATTTTCTTGTGAGAGTCGGCCGCCGATGAACCCCACCCGCTCACGCTCTCGTGCTTGACGGTGCATCGTCAGATCTGTTGGTATCAAATCGACCCCTCCAAGATCCATCGGTGTCCATTCTACCTTGTCCGAGACCTGTTGGCGTGCCCAAATCAAGCTAGAACTCCCGCCGTGGTGGAGTTTCGCTGCCCTTCTCTCTTCCACCATTGAGGAAGAAGTCCAGCACCCCCAGTGTAGATAAATACACCGCCGGGTGCCGGGGAGACAAGAGATACGGGAGAAGCGAGGAAATATAGAAAAATATAAATAAATTTTGTTGACCTATATATATAATTATTATAGATATTATAGAGAGGGGAGATTGGTGATCTACTAATCTGTTAATCTGTACGTATAGTCGTTCACGGGTGGCGCGCCATCGTTGGTGCTGTTGAGCGAGCGGGGGCCTCCCTCTTGCAGGAAAGCTTGCTGCATTTAGGAATTTCGATGTGCGCCGGCGTCGTGCGTTGCGTGCCACTTGTCGGGAAAAAGTCGTGCACAGTAGTGGACTGGGGGTACACTTGAGTCACGTGGTGGTACGTACTAACCCGGTTTCGTACAGATTAACATCCTAATTTTTTTAGTCACGGGATCCGAACATCCCTTTAATCTTTCACTGTGTCCGGTTAGATGCATGCCTGTTCAGATAATGTCTGGAGAAGTTGAGATGATATGGCCCGGGCCCTGTGAGTTGCAGTGTTCTAATCTCTCTACTTCGTCCGTCGATCAGTCATAGGAAACAAACTGTTGAAATTAACCGCTGAGAGCACCAATCCTAGCCCTAGGCTCCTAGCCAAATGTTAGCCAGGTAGCGTTCGATCTGACGCGACAAGGAAATCTCAACAAATGACGCGAAGGTTTGCGGTCGATCCTTGAGAAGAACACACAAGATCATATCGGACCCCGATCATATCATAACACACTAACACAGTGCGAGTTTCAGTCTGTAATACGCTCGAGATAAATGGTTTTGCGTCATATCATGACTCATGACTCCTTTATCCTGACGACGTGCACTCAGATCGAACGGTTCAAAAAATTCAGCAGTAATGACACGCACTGACGCTGGAGAAAATACATGTATGTCCAGAGCAGCACTCTAAAAGCCAGGCCGACCCAACTCTTTGTACATGACAAGCAAAAGCGGCTAGCGGCTAGCATCACCTTTCGATCTCCCTCGATCATCATCCTCACCCAATTCTCCTCCCATTTTTCTTGTCCATGGGAATTGGGAAAAAGGAAAATATCATGTCGTCACCTAATAAATTGCATACTGCAACCACCGTCAGTACTGTCCTCGCTATATAACCCTTCCTTTCTCCCACATTGTATCAGCTTCAGCTCTGGCTGGCCGTGCTATAGCGCTATAGCTAGCTGCAGCCAGCCATATATAGCTACCGTCGTCTCGATCGATCGCCTCACCATTTTATACACACATATATCCGATCTCCGGCACTGAAACTGCGAATAGATATGGGGGCGCCATCATGTCTTGCGTTCCTCCTGTTGTGTGGCACGTTGCTAGCATTGCCGCAGTCGTCGCACGGCACAACCAGATACTACACCTTCAATGTAAGCGCATTTCATCAAGAATATATATGCATATGCATGGCGCCGTTGGTTCATATTGTGTTATATACTTTGCTAGGACTACCATGCAATGGTTTAGCTTGGGTCCCTATATATTTCTCTTCTTAATGAAAAACCACCTAGTTTCTCCTGTGCTGGATCTTGTTTTTTTATGCAATAATGCTTCAGCTAGCTCTTGATGGTCTGTTCTTCCATCTATGAACGAGGTTTTGGAGAAACGACGTGAATTGACGTGTCTATTATCTGCTGTTTCGATCATGTGTGGCAGGTGACGATGCAGAATGTGACACGGCTGTGCACCACCCGCGCCATCCCGACGGTAAGTTCCCCGGCCCCAAGATAGTCACCAGGGAGGGCGACCGCGTCGTCGTCAAGGTGGTGAACAATGTCAAGGACAACGTTACCATCCACTGGTAAATTTCCTTCATATATACCCCGTTACGTTCCTCAGCTCGCTCCTAGATTTTTCATTTGTATATATAGCGATCGGCGCACCTCGTATATACGTACTTGGAAACTCTTTGCACCAACGAACTGCAATAACCTAGATCATGTCGCAAGCTGCCATGTTTCAATAGAGAGATCATCGATTCGTACCTCTGTCTCGATCCTGGTTGGTGTCTGCAACTAATAACAAGCATCTATCATCTTTTTTGTTTCCTGGATGCGATCAGCAGCTAGGTCGATCGCCATCCTTTTAGCTAGCTACTCCCTCCGGGCAGCTTTGTAAGGCAAAGGCATGCATGTTTCAGTTGTTTCAGGACGTGCCAATGCATGCATGTGCAGTTGTGCACTGATCAGCTGATCTGCATGATTCTGATACTGATCTTCATTTTGTTTGCATTCTCTGGGTGCACGATGCAAACTGCATCCATGTATGTATGCGAACGAACAACAGGCACGGCGTTCGGCAGCTGCGGACGGGGTGGTCGGACGGGCCGGCGTACGTGACGCAGTGCCCCATCCAGACGGGGCAGAGCTTCGTGTACAACTTCACCATCACGGGGCAGCGGGGCACCCTGTTCTGGCACGCGCACGTCTCCTGGATGCGCGCCACGCTCTACGGGCCCATCGTCATCCTCCCCAAGCGCGGTGTGCCCTACCCGTTCCCGGTTAAACCCTACAAGGAGATCCCCATCATCTTCGGTGCGTGATGACTGATGAGCTCGTGCCGCTGCTCTGCTGACTGCACTGCTCTGGGTGTACATATATACATGCTGTGTAGCCTGTAGGAGCACAGTGTTGATACTGCTCTGGGTGCCGCAGGAGAGTGGTTCAACGCGGATCCCGAGGCAATTATCGCCCAGGCGCTTCAGACTGGAGCAGGCCCAAATGTGTCGGACGCCTTCACCATCAACGGGCTTCCGGGCCCCTTGTACAACTGCTCCAGCAAAGGTAAGACTCGGCCCATTCAGTCACCAACGGCTGAAAAGGCTTCATTGATTCAACCCAATTCCAAGGCTCAAATCAGAAATTTACGTGGAACCCGTTTCGGTAACTGCTGAGCATCTCACAGTTTTCATTTCGATCGCTTTCACGTGCTATGATGTTCGAGTCGATGCTCTACCAACCAACCACCTTGTTCGCAACAACTGCAGCAGGAAAAGAGCTGGATAGCTGTGCTGTCGTTGATCTTTCTGAGAGCGGAGTGCTGCACTATGGCAGTGATGCATATGAACAGCAAAATTTTCAGGTAGCAGATGCATTCATGGAAAAGAAACAACTCTAGATGGTAATGTACAAGGGTGGATTACAGTGATGGTGAGGACCGAGAAGGATTACAAGAGTTCCATGCGAACGCGATTGAGTTCGTCCATGGAACAACTACACAGTTATTCATGCTACACGGAGCTCGCGTCCCATGCATTCGGAGTTTCAGATCCAGAGCTGGCAACCCCCTCGATCAAAAGAGAGAGGGAGGAAAAAAAGGTTCAGAGTCGGCAGAGTTGGCAAAACTAAGGAGTCGTCGTCGCCGCCGGGCAGGCGGGGAGGGGCCGTCTGCCGGGGTCGCCGTCTTCTCTCCTCAACAGAAGGACGGGACGACGCCGTCCGACGCCGCGTGCGCCGACCCCGCGGGCGAGAAGCACGCCCCTTCGTCGTGCTCCAGCGCGTCGTCCTCGGCCTCCGAGGAGCAGCGCTTGGCGAAGCGGCCCTTGATGCGCGGCCGCGTCTCGGCGTACGCCTTGCGGGACGCGTAGCGGATGGTCTTGTCGAACCGACGGTTCTTGCGCTTCTCACGGTACCGCATCAAGCCGCGCCTCCCGCTCCTTCCCCCTGCTCACCACCGCCGGCACGCCGGCCGCCTGCGCGTCCGGCACCACCGCCACCTCCGAGGACGACAACTGTAATAATAAGGGACATTATCACCACCGTCCACAAAATTAAAAGGGAGCATATTTTCGAGGAATCTGAGAGAAACCATGGGTGTGAGGGTCCAGGATGTATAGAAGTAAGGCTTACACTGTGATTCATGGAGTGTTCGGGGTAGAAAAAGCTGCCGGCAGCGATGTCCAACTCGGGCGGCGCGACCGGCACGCCGATGGCCTTGACGCCGTCCATGCACCGGGCGAAGTCCAGGTCGACGCCGAGGTAGGCGTCCGATTCCGCGAACAACGTGTCTGCGGCGGTGGCGGCGGCGCTGTCCTCGTGGCTGTTGTCAGGCTCGGCGAGCAGCCACGACGCCGCCTCGGCCTCGTTGCTCCCGTCGTCGTCATCCGCCGCCGCGGCTTCCCCCTGAGCCTTGGCCCCCGCTGCGGCCGCGGCGGCGAAGGCCGGGGACGGGAAGGGCTGCGGCGCGTCGGCGAGCGCGCCGAAGAAGGGCGTGACGGGGAGGCGCTCGTGGCGGCGCGCGAGCGGGTTGGCCGAGTGGATGTCAGCGTCGCAGGCGGAGCAGAGTGCGGCGGCGTCGGCGCGGCAGGTGACGGCGGCGGGGGCGTGCTCGCAGACCTCGCACAGCCAGACGCGCGCGTGGCGCGACCCGGCGCCGTGCGCCCGGGCGTCGCAGCCGGGGCACAGGAACGCGCCGTCCTCGCGGCAGTGCAGCCGCGCCGGCTCCGCGGCGCACGCGTCGCAGGGGCGCGCGCCCATCACGCTCCAGTACCCCACCGCCGGCTTCTGCTCCAGCTCCACCGCGGTGTCCATGCTGCTGCCTGCTGGATGCTGGTGTCACGGACGGGCTCTCGGGGGGTTTGCGTTGGAAATGGCTGCCCTCGGGGTGTTTGTTGGTGTGTGCCCGCCGCAGCGGGCGTTTTGAGGGGTCGGCCAGCACGTGGAGGGGCTGGCGGCCACGAGACGGGCGGCCAGTGGACCGGCGTCCCGTCGCTGTCTCGGGGTTGCTCCTTTGTGCCTGCGGCCATTTTTAAGATTCTCGGGCGGCCATTAAATATAAATAAAAATGGACTAATTATATAGTTTAGCGTCCCGTCGCTTAGACTATAATTAAATACTAATTGTCAAATAACAACGAAAATATTTTAGTACCATTTTAAAAAAAAAATCGCCAACTAAACGAGGCCTTTGTTTGCTTGTCCGACGATGCTAGATGTCAACTAGAGTTGCTAATCGTCACTGGAAAAGGACTTTTAAACAGGATGCCAATGTAAGATGCCCACTAGTAAGGCCCCGTTTAGATATTAGGGAATAGCTTTCTGGAAAAAATCTACCTAAATTGTTAGCTTTAATTTGTATAAGAAATTAGACCTGGAATATTTTCTAGGCCTGAATTATGCTAACTGAACAAGCCCGGAAGATTTTCTCTTAAGTCTGTTGTTTTTGCGTTGGTTAAACAGTACCACCTTTCCTCGTCAACGTAAAAGCATAATCAAACGCGAAAAGTCTTGGCGTCCTGAGTTTCTCATGCACTATAATATTAGTTACTAAATTAACATTATTTTAGGTCACCCAATAAATTTTATTGCACGCTTCCTAACTACTAGTTTTTAAATTTTATTGTACGCGCGTATTTTTTGAGAAAAAAAAGATATAATCTATCAGATGAGAAAAATCTGAATTTTTTAAAAAAGTCCGTTCAGTTGATTTTCGATAAAGTGTCTTTTTTTGTGCCCACTGGCGTTGACGTCGTTTTTTGTGCTCAGCGTTGATTTTCGAAAACTTAAAAGGTTTTTCAAACGAAAGCCTATGCGATCGAGCAATGGCGAAAAAGCGACGTGGCCACCTCGTGGTCACGGGCAAATCATATGTTTAGATCAGATACCTGAATTATTTAGTCCGTTCAGGCGATGCTTGTGCACTGGCCACGGCTGCTTAGCGCATTAGACTCCCTATGCGGCAGAGGTCTTTCAACAGCTGTAGTTTTCAGGCACCTGTAAATTAGCATCTCCCATTTTGTTGATCTAACTTTTGCACGTTAAATATGACGTAGTAAATACTTCGATTAATTGTTTGTCGAAAGTTATAAAGTTTGAAGTTTTTAAAATAAAAATGTGTGTTATCAATGATGACTGTAGCATACTCGATTCTTTTGATGAAATCTAAGGTTCATCTAGGGTGCTTGAGTGTTTCGTGAATGCCTAGTGCTCAGATTTCCTCGGTACATGCCATGCATTTGATCAAACCAAAAACCTCAGTTTAGTCCTTTGGTCTATTGAAAGATTCATTAAACTAAAAATTAAAACCAAATTTCGCTACATAATTCTCAAGAGTGATAGATTTGGTGCATTCTAGTCCGTTCTTAGTTTTTGAACGATCTTACATAGGTAAACATCATAGATGTTGGGCTCGTTATTGTCCGTTTTGTTAAAGCAGAAGCAGGGGATCAATGTGGAGAGCTCCGACTAGGGTTGAATAGCACGTGATGGGTCATTAGAGGTGAGCCATTGGCGGTGCAAATCTGATCAACGGAGGAAGGTCGAAGACGACAAAGTCAAGCATGTTGGTAGGTCGTGTGGCATAGTGGACAACAACGAACTTACCTATGCCATCAACGTAGGTGTAGCATTAGCAAGTTGGTAGGCCGGCTATAGGCTAGGACAATAGGACTGGAGAAAGAGACTTGTGGCCATTTACTCATTTATTATCATGTAAACACTATGTCATCACTCGTTTTTTTTTTCATGTGAGAGCTCTATCACTAATTTAGTTACGTGATGAACTGAGAGTTAAGTATGTGTTCATGTGAGAACTATGCCTATTTGCTAAAAATGCTTTGTTTAACAAATACACCAATATCTATTTGGTGATAACACTGAGAACCATTTAGCTCAATTAACTCCATTTAAATGCTTCCTAAATAATTTAAACACTACAAGGGCGATTGAAAGTTTAATCTTTAAGTCCTTAGAATGCAAGAAAATTTAAAAAAATGGATTGAGAATCTTTTGGCTTCGATGTGTGCATTTATCTTTTCAAGTTTGTAGTGTACTCAGTACACATTAGAGCATTTGCTCTTGCTCTTTAAGGCCCCTTTAGAATGCGAGATTTCTTTTTCTATTCTTACGTTTTTCTCGTGAAAAATAAACCTATTGCTGTGAAATTTCTATACAATTTCTGTGAAACTAATGAATTCAAAAGAGTCTGAAGAAGGGTTGAAAACCCATAGGACAATATGGTTTCCCATATGAACAGCGACACACACATGTAAAATAGGAGTAGATTATTTAATCCAAAAAAATAGTAGTAGATTATACCAGTGGGCAGTGGCACAGCACAGTAACTTCAATAACAGCAGTGCGATAGTATAATATATACAACAATATAACAAGAAACAAGTTTTGCTATCGTTGGATAAGTGAAGTTTTTTTTTTTTTTTTTTCTTGGGCCAACTCCTTTGGATGGTGACAAGTTCTGTGCCTACACGCTGCAAGTGCACGCAGATACCCTTCACACTTGCACGCCCTTTTCCTCTCTGATTAAAAAAGCCTTTTCGTATTGCACGGGAAAAGGCGCGGTTGGTATCGCTCGTCGTTACTCGTTACAGTACGCCGCTGTGCCTGTGCGGCACGAGACGGAGGTCGGAGGGGGCGGCGGATGCGATGCGACCGCGACGGTGACAGCGTCCGGGCCCCGGCGGCCCAAAGCGTCTCCTTACCCAATCACCCGTGCGCGATCGCCCCGCGCCAGCTGGCTCGTCTCGGTTGGCCCCCGGGACGATCGCGCTTATCCCCTGCGGATACGGGGGTGACAGGTCAGCCGGTGGCCCTCCCCAGTCCCCGCCGGGCGAATCACAGGCGAGATCTGGATCCTTCGGCTAGGGCCTGGGCCCCTGGGGTGCTGTGCCTGTGCGCTCGCGACGCTGCCCGACTGCCGACTAGTGACCCCATCACCTGTTGCTCTGTCTGTCCGTCTCCATCTCTTTACTCCCTCCGTAAAAAAAAAAAAAACACAATTCTTGACCTTTGGACACGGGGGAGTACACCGATACAAAAAGCTGCTTTAAAATGGTCGCATGAACCGCAAGTGCGTGCGTCTGTGTGCCACTAGCACAAATGCAAACATTTCTCGCGTCGCATATAGGTTGGCACGAGACGCAAGTGTGCCATTAATAGCAAGTATGCAAGCATGCTTTTGTGCTCTAGTAGTAGTGCATGAGGCCAATCTTGGCAAGTATAGAAAACTAAGCTACTGCAAATTCCGGTGTCATGTCAACGAAAGGGACAGTTAGGCGTACCACTAAGCCGATAACGACCGTTGAGTGCTGAAAGAGAAGACACGAGCAAACAGCGAGCTTGAAGAATAGACTGATCCGGAAACCACTAAACAAACAAAGCTGAAATCAACGGAGCATGCATGACACTATGACAGCTCTCGGCTCGGGTCGAGCACGCAGCAGGCACCAGTCAGCAGTCACAAAGAGAGGTGCCACTAGGGAGAACATGCTTATCCCGAAAGCTATCCGGTTTCTGTCTGTTCAGGGAAAGAGCTAGCGCCCCACACGCGGTTCCTATCAGAAATCAAGATAACGGATACGCGGGCAGGAGAAACGCGCACGGGTCAGGCCGGTTTGGCACGTCCACGTCGCGGCTGCTTCAGTTGTTCAATGCAGTCACGGCTCTGCTGACTTGAATGAAAAAAAAACAATATTATTTGCGTGGAGGCCTCTCTCAGCCCAAGTGCCTTCGAGACCGGCCCCATAGAAAACGGGCCGTTTTGGAAGCCATCGTGTTGGGATTGTGGGCCGGGCCGGTAGAGACTACATGGACTCATGGAGAGAACATCCGCCGCCGCAAGTTCCTCGCCGACGCTCCACCCGCGCCGGCGCTGCTCCTAAAACCACCCGAATTAAACCCTAGCGGGCAGCGGCGATTCCTCTCCAGTCTCCAGCAGTCCAGCTCGATCGCGATCGGTGACCAGCAATCCATGGCCGCCACCGCCGCCGCGCCGCTCGACGAGGGCAAGGCGAAGAAAGTCCTTCGCCAGGTTCGCGACCCCGCCTTGTTGCCCCAGCTGCACAACATTTTTTTTCCTTTTTCCCGTGCGATTCTTCGGAAAAGTACGTATCTGATTTGGTTGCCCCAGGTGGAGTTCTACTTAAGCGACAGCAACCTCCCCCGCGACAAGTTCCTGCGGGAGACGGTCGAGCAGAGCGACGACGGATGTAGCGCCCCTCGCCCGCTTGCTCCATCTCCCTGCTGTTTGGTTTTGTGGGGGTTTTGTGGGCTGAATTTTCTGTTGTTTTTGCCAACTGTGCAGTGGTGAGCTTGCCCTTGATATGCTCCTTCTCGCGGATGAAGTCCCACCTGGGGCTGGACGCAGATGTGAAGGCCGAGACTATGCCAGAGGAGACCGTGCTTGCGGTTGCTGAGGTGCTCCGGCGTTCTCCAGTCCTCCGCGTATCGGAGGATGGTAAGCCAATTCCTGCCCTTCCCTCACCTTTTTGAAGGAAGTTTGGTTTAGTTCTGTCACATGCTAAACACCTGAGCTTTGTAGCAGAGATTTAATGTAAATCTTGTGTTTCTCAATGTAGTTGAGATTTTAGATCGTCCTATTCTCCATTTAAAATATCGACAAACGTAGATCCCTTGAGCTTGAATTATGAACAAGTTGTGGCTAGCATTTGTATATACTGCCACAGTCTTAAGATGACACCTTGCCTTGGCTTGCACTTGATTATGATCTCTGCTTTACGGATATTTTACTGGAAAGTGGATATTAGTATGAACTTCTATTGTAAGTCAAGGGATATG